TGTGATTAGTTTTTGTTGTTATTGTTGTTGCTGTTGTGGAGGTGGTTGTGGTGTTGTTGTTGGAGGTGTTGGTTTTTGTAGTGGTGATGTTGTTGCTGCTGTTATTGTCGTGTTGTCGTTTTTGTTGTTATTGTTGTGTTGTCGTCGTCGACATCATCATTATCATCATCATCGTCTTATTCTATGGTATCCGTGGCTGGAATAGAAATCTATGTAGTTGTGACTGACAGTATTATGACTGATAATAATAATAATAATAATAATAATAATATAATAAATGTCATTTATATAGCGCTCAACCCCGATTGAAGTACACAGGCTTCCAAGCGCTTTGCAATACAATACAATGTCCTACAGTAACATAAAACCTAGTGTACGAGCAAAAAGAAAATCACTCCAAGATTTTTCTCTTATGTAGTGTCGGGGGTGTCAAAACCCTTGTTTTATTATTCTGTTTCCATTCAAAAACATATTCCTACTCAGCTGCACTGGCCATCGTGAGACATTGACGGGCTAGCGTTAATTTTGGCAGTGAGGCAATTTAAAAATGGTAACGAAAAAAACAACAAAAAAATACAAGATGGAACAGGGTTACAGATTTACCCATCCACAGGTTTTGTTCCGGAGAGAGTGCAAAGGTCGTTTTCTCCAGATGAAGCGTTTCCTGACGTGCGATGAGAGGCCGGCCGATGAGCTGCCCAACTTGCGGGAGTTGTGGGAGGAGGAGACAGATGGGAACCACGTAGATAAGACCATCTTCATCTCCCATTTCGGAAATTCTGGAGCGCACAGTAAGTGAAGAGCATTTTTGGGTAGACAATAATTATTAAGAGAAATATCGTGTCTGTCTACGATTACAACTTTAGACATTATGCATTTCCATTCCTTTGATATTCAATACACGTCCATTTCACTAGCGTTGATGCACCCCGATACAAGCGCGAACATCAAGTTTGTTTTTTCTCCCAGTAAAATCCACTTTAAGAATGTTTGTTTAAATGGCGTTGAGCT